GGGAAAAGTGAAAACCAGCAAAGCTCATTAGTTGGCAAATGTAAAATGTGATACTGCTATTCAAACTTTATAAACTCAATCCTAAAGTAAACTCTTTTGTGTGGTTTTTTTCATTTTTCTGTTTTTGTTTTAGTTGGTGGCCATCTATGAGGTTTTAAAGGATGAAGAAAGGAGGCAGAGGTGAGTTAATTTGCACAGATTCTCAAATAAAGCATTCATGCCAGTGATATATTGAAGTCCTGTTTGACTTAATTGTAACTCTTCAGGTGATTTTTTGCATAATTTAAGTTCATAATTCCTATGTAGCTGTTTAATTACAGATTGTATGTGGCTCAAAGGGGAAGCTGGTGTGTGTTTTTGTGTGATATACTGGTTATTCTACTTTAAAACTAGTATTTGAAAGAACTTTAAAAGCTAGCTGTTATTTGGAGCGATTTTTTTAAAAATTATATCACTGTTTGTTGAATTGTATCAGTTATCATTGGTTGTTTTATTAAAGCTGTGGTTGAAAATACAGGCCACTGATTCAACTGTCAGCTGTATCTCACTTTACCAATAAAAGGTTTGCTGCATGATACTTAGGGATTACTTCCAGTGTATGTCATCTTCAACATTGTTTTCTGTTGCTTGGTTCGTTGTTTTTTCTTTCAGATGTATTATCTATAATACTGCAAATTTTGATAAACATAGCGTAATTTTTTTTTATATAAATGATAGTTTTCCTTTCTGCTTGAGTAGCAGGTCCAGCAGTACCTGAAGGGGATAGGATTAAGAACTGAAAACCTGGGGCTGATCTGCTTTCTAAAAATATTTGAACTTTGTTTTTCTTGTTTTTTCTAAGTGGATGACCATTTAAACTAATGATTATCAGGAAGACTGAGACACTTAATTTTGCTTTTGGGTTGGTGTTTTAGTAAATCATTTTACAAATCTTTAAACAGGGCTTCTTGAGACATTTCTTGAAGGGGTTTTGGCTTTGTAGATGTCTTGGCAGGAGTCCAGGTTTAATAGTACAGATTATCTACTTTTTGATAATCCTTTCTTGAAGTGTCATGAAAATGTACTTCATTTTAAAAAAAAAAAAAAAAATCCCAACAAATTTCCAGAGGTACTTTTCATTTCACCTCTCACAAGAGAATTTCATTGTGAAGTTCTACTCAAGGAAAGTTAAAAAAAAAAATAAAAAATTGTTAGTAAAGTGGCTTCAGACGACTTGAAAAGCAGGCTATCCCCATAATTTCCCCATCTTTTTGTTTATAACATTGTTTACATACACTTTGTGATACTGCCTCTGTGGAGCTTAGTTCTAGCATGGAGCTTATAGGAATTTCCTTGCAGCTGTAATAGCAGCTTTTTGCATGGAACTTTGATGCAGTAGCTTGTAAAAATTACATTTTTAAGCATTGTATGCATTACAGATGCAACTAACCCAACTTGTTTGTGAGAATATTGTTAATCAGTGTAGCACAGTGATTACAAATGAGAAGCTAAAGCAGCAGTAGATTGTTCTAGCTTAGATTGATTTCATTGTCAATCACTTTTTTTGTTGTATTTTTCTTGCACAGTGTGGATGTATGGTTGATATTGTTTCTATAGTTGATTAAATATAAATGTAGTGGATTAAATGGTGTTTACCTTCAGAGAATTTTCTGGAAATAATATGCAGAGTTTAGAAATAACATGTAGGGTAGCAGAACTATATGGTCTCATTGCTTTGAGAAAACCTTTAATGATCACATTTATTTCACAGTCTAATGGTAAACTCTTGAGTTGATCTTGTAAACAGAGGGTGGTGTGTCCTGTATCCTGTAAGGCACTGTTGTAGCATCTCTTTAAAACAAGTCTTCAGTGTGCTAGGAGCTGCTCCCCCGCAATATTGCTTCCGTTGTATGGTAACTCATGGGTTTCTTGCAACCATACAGCAAACGAAAGGAGAGAGTCATTGCTTTTTGCGATTTTCCTACTTTTGCTGTTGATGTTTGGCTATACGTTATGTGAGGTGATGAATCTAGTGGAAGAGGCTCAAAAGTTTACTGTCATGCCCGTGCACTGGGGAGAAACTATGCTGCACCGTTTGTCTCTCAGGGCTTATCAGCTTAGTTTTATGCTGATTCTAGAGACACTTATTTGGGTCTGCTGTAACAAGGCTTTCTGCCAGATTTTTTTTTCCCATCCCCTTGGCAGTGTGGTAGTTTTTATTTCTAAAGTAACTCAAAGACCTGATGGGATGAGATGGCAATTAATTCCATTTCTAACAAATTAGTTGGTAAGGAATTCTGGCAGTTTGGCTGGGAATGCCTTCATAACTAGACACCTAAATGGTTTGGGGCACGGAATGACACCACCTTGAGAAGAGTGAGCTGTAGGCTTCTGCTTCTTATGGTGAAGTCAGCCGTACCTCTTACTGTTCATATCGAAAGTGATGTAATCCAGCATTGGTCCTGGTGTGTGTATAGAGTGGAACTGGTAAAGGCAGGAATAAGGTCCTGCACTGTATGAGTGAGTGATTAACTTATTAACTTATTTTGAAACAATAAAACTGGGTCTAATTACACCCTTCCTCCATGTCTTGGTGAATGTCAGAGGTGTTAATTGTGTGCATGTACAGAAACAGCGCTCTAAAAACTCTTGGCCAGCTATATGTAATTATTTTTCTAAAACCTTTGTATTTTCATACTTATTGGTGAATTTTTACTTCATCTGATGGCAGAAGCCTTTATTAAACTATTGTAGTTCCTCTACTGACAATTATAATACAGGACTTATAATTAAAATGTGTTTTGCTTTTTTGAGAAAGCTATATAGTTCCTTGTGAAGTATACTAATACAGTAGTACTACAGAATATAGTAGTATTACTGTGTTATTATTTTTCCTCTTACACACTTTGATACATAATAAAAACATTCTAACATTAAACATACATGCAGCATTGTTTAATGTAGCAGTGTTTAACATTAAACATACATGCAGCAGAACATAGTATTTTATATTTTGTATACACACTGCAGAGTGTGAAATTCTACAGAAAAGTTTATCTTTAGAGAATGTAGAGATAGGTGCATTTCCTGAAATATGCTTTACTTTAGGGCACCTATTGGTAAATCAACTTGATGATGATAAATTTTATTAGCCTTTGATTATTTTTAATTTATGAAAAAGTAGATAGTTTTATGCACTTCTGTTGTAATTAGGCAAAAATCTTAAGTTTTAATTTCATTGTTTGTTACCAATTTAAGGAGCTTTTTTTACCTACCAGGCCTATCCTCTGTAACAATGTGGGCTTGATTACAGGAAGAATTTGCAAAGGAATCAAGATATACTTGTTTAGAGTAAGAAAGGTGTTTATCTTAGTTCTCATTATAATTAAATGTCTGTATTCATAGGTATAAATTGTTCTGGCTGATGTTGCACTGGATGTTGGATGTCTTTGACAGCTTGAGGAAAAAAGGCCCCCAAAATAAAAAACACCAGTGCAGCCTTCCCATAGTTCAGAATAGATCTCATTAATTCAATGTTATAGTATATAAACTCTATCAGATCTCTGAAATTATTTGAAATATGAAATACAGTGGTTCTCTTAAAGGAAAAAGTAAATTATAATTATATTAAAATAGATGATACTGTAATTAGTACTACAGTTAATGGATTTTTTTTTTTTCTTGCAATGTAATTGAATCTACAAAGAGCTCTAAAAACTATTTCATGAAGCTTTACAGAAAAATGAAATTTTAATAATCTTGCAATTGGTTACTTGTTTGTACAAGACTAAGTCTTGTATAGAATCCTGAGTTTTAAAGTAAAGATTCCACTTAAGTTGTAAATGGGGATTTTTTTTGTCTTTGTTTCTGTACTGGTGCTTTGGGGTTTTTTAGCTTGCTGACTGCTACATTTCAGAGACAACTGGCAGTCGTACTCATATGTCAAAGATTTGCTGCATTCTGTATACATATGTCTGAGGAAAAAATACTGCAGATGTATTTTTCCTTTTCAGTTAGATTTTTTTTTTCTTCTTATAGAGTAACAAGTAATGTAGGTTGCCAAATGAAGAATGCTTTGTAATTAAATTTTGAATGTAGTTCTTGATGCACATGGATTAACTTTCTATCTTTCATAGTTAATGTATGTTTCTATAAAGAAATTCTTTAATGAGAAACTTGCTTTTAATTAAACCACATCCTAAACTTGGAAACCAAGATTTAAAAATCATGGGAAGCTTCTGAGTTTCAGTAGGATCATTTTCTAGTTGAAAACCCTAAAAATCATTGATATCTTTATTTTTCAAATACAGAGCTTAATTACTATTGAAAGCAGTGATTTATCCTTTAACAGTATATATTCTAAAAAGTGGGTTATAATAGAAGCTATCTTCCCTTAAAATGGCCAGTCGTGTGAGCCATAATGCTCATTGATAGTAAAATCAATAGAGCATTGATTCTGAGACTTAATCCTTGGAGACTGTTCAGAACAGCGGACATAGCCTAGTAAATACAGAGTGCTGTTTAAAGTGTTTAATGCAAGAGACTCTGCTGTCTTAATTTATTTTTTCTTAACAGATAATTTATAATAGAACATGATTGCCAAATCTTAGTTTGCAATCTTGTTTTACATATTACTATATTGTTACCCTTAGCATATATGGACCTTATTTAATCGGTAGCCACATTTTCAGTACATCAATTAACAAGCCTTCGCGTATAAGAAGCAAATGCTTAATAAATTTATAGTAGTATTAAAAGAAAATTCTTTCTTGCTTCTGTATGTATTTGTCTGAAGCTTTCAAAGGAAGAACATCTTTTGTGAAATCTTGTTATCAACCTAATTTGTTTTAAAAATGGTTTTGTTTCTAAAATATTTTCTTGTATTTTAACAATAAAGTGTTTAGCAAATGCATTATTTTTTAAATGTTTAAACTTTTACTTAATTCTTTAACAAAAAGTTAAGTAGAAGTTTTAGGTTTGAAATAGTATTCTAAGCATTTTTTCTGAACAGAGTTTGTGTTAAGGCATCAGTAGTTAATTTGTTCTGACTTACTGGGAAAGGAAAAAAGTTATTACTTCAAATTTTACAATAATGGATATTAATCTTAGTATTTTCATAATTGTCATGGAAGATACAATTTTGTAATATGAATCTTACTTCTGGTAGCATTCAGAACACCGCAGAATCCTGAGGTGTTAAACCTTTTGCATAGAAATAACGGTGCCAACTTAACAAATGTTTTTTTGACAAAAGTCAGCTTTTCTAGATGTGCTGAATTATTTTTTTTTTTAATTGAAAACCATTGTCTGTTTTTCTACTTAAAAAAATGAATTTGCTTGTGGAAATTTTTTTTAGTACATCTCCAAGGTATCAATTTAATAACTATCAAAGTAGCTAGTGCAGTTGTTGCATTTAAATTGATTTACATGTCAAGACTGGCAGTTTAGCAGCTGCGCTATTATTCCTGGATCGGTCAATTTACTTGAGAAAAACCTACTACTGAGTTCTACTGACCTGCATGACAATATAGGCCCTATTTCTATTCCTGTAATTAGGCCTGCGACTAACTCAGAATATTTTTAATTAAAATATTTTGGTCAATGTGTTGCACCAAATTAGGCCTTTCAGTGCAGATTTAATTCTGGAAACAGTGTGATTAGAATATGTAATGAGTTGTGTTCAATTTAAGATTAACAGGTTGTGCATCTTGAACATACAGGTTTTTGAGTTTACTGTAGAGATTTTTGTTTGAAACTTTACTCTGAAAAGTTAACAAATAGAAAAATCTGTTTTGCATGTCTGTGGTTTGTTTATTTTTAAATTGATAACATGCTGTAAATAAAAGACCTCAGACATACTAAGATATTTCAAGACATTTGTGTGAAGAAAAACTGACAAATTGTCATAAAATGGTTTCTGAGCAGTCAGTAGTGTTTGTAAAATTAAACAGGTTTAAAATGGATTGGTTTGGGAGACAGCTTTTCAAACAGAAAATCAAAATTGTCTAGCTATGGTGAACTTTGTTTTCTAACATCAAAATCAAGCCTTTAACTTAAATTCATATCTGACACAAAATGGATGTTAAGTCTGGCAGCATTAATGGATATGGTGCTACTAGAGGACAAAACAAAAGCAAAGATACCTCTCCCCTCCCCCCAACACTTGTGCTTTTAATTTGTAAAAGAAAAAAAGGTTTCTAGTGTTTGAGACTTCTGTTCTTTGCTACCTATTTAGTAGTTTATAGTTTGTTGTTTACTTCTATCATGGAGACCTGCCCACTGATTACTAGACGGATAGAACACATCTACGTTTCTAGAAGTCTGTTATTTCAGAAGTGAAAGAACTGGGGGAATATTGCAGGAGCAATTGAATTACTTTTAAAAAAAAAAAAAAAGGTCTACATACATTTCTGCAGCATTTGGTTCTGGATTCTGTTTGTTTCCAGATGCAAGCCTAGCAGCTGACAAAACAATTCATTGCTCTATTAAAAAAAAAATAATTCTAAATGATCTTTTGTGTGTGTATTATTCAAGCCGTCTGTGGATTATCTTTAGTTTTGTTTTATAATTGAATGGTTTGGCTCATTTCATTTTTAGCTCTCCATGAAAGCCTGTTATATTTGCTACTGTAGGTATGATGATATTCTGATCAATGGACTACCAGATTGGCGACAGCCTGTATTCTACTACAGGCGGGTGAGAAAAATGAGCAATGCTGAGCTGGCATTACTCTTGTTCATTATACTCACAGTGGGTCATTATGCTGTGGTTTGGTCAATCTACCTGGAAAAACAGCTGGTAAGTATTGGTAATAAATCAAACTTGCTTCAATTATTAGTATTGAATTTCCTGCAGAAGTTTGCATATTATAGGGCTCTCTACCACTTCCCCTGTTTGGAATTTGGATTTTTCATATTTTGAAAGAATTATATTTAAAATTGTGATAATTTTAGAATTAGATATTCAACATATTGGAGATAGTAATCTAAAAGCTACTTAATTTTTCTAGAATTGGTAATAAATAGCAAGAGATGGTTCTTTGGTTTTTAACTGGAAGGAAGAAGAAGAAAAAAAACCTGTTTTGTCATCTATTGACACAGAATCATATGCTGCTGTAGTCATGTCTATGGTTTTCCTAAATGTTGTTTAAAAATAATCAGTTTTAATTCATTTAAGTCATACTTGCTTTACCTTTGTTCTTAGCTAAATGCTTTTTTTTGTTTTGGGTTTTTGTTAACAGGATAAGCATTGGTAAGCAGTATAAACCACATTATTTTTTTATTATTTTGGTTTTTGTCATATGAAAATCTATTGCACTTAGAGTAGGAAAAACCCTAAGCATAACTTGAAAAATATTCATACATTAGCATATATTTACTTTTTTTTTTATTTTCCACTGCATTATTGAAGTTGATGAATGAGAAAGGAGGCAAGTTGAATGCTTTCTCCTCTTAGAAAACTTTGATTGCTATGGAGATACACATGAGTGACAGAACTGGACTTCATGTGTGTTTAAAGACTGGATACCATGGCAACAGTTATTGTTAAGATAGATCATTTTACTTAATCATGTAGGACCCCTAGATACATTTGCATAAATGCTACTCTACTGTTTACCCTTCACAGAAGAGTCCCAGTAACATTTGTGGTTTACATGTTAATGATAACCTGTAACTGTAGTTCTTTCTACATCAAGGATGAACTGCTTAGCAGAAAAAAGAGAGAGAAGAAGAAAAAAACAGGTGGCAGGAGTACAGATGAAGCCAAACTTGCTGCTCTAGACAAAAATGAAAGGTGGGAAGGAACTATTTTTCTGCATTTTAAAACATTTTATCAGCTACTGGTTTAGTTCTATCATTTTCTCCTTGAATCTTTGAAATATTTTGAGAAAAATAACTGTATTTGTAGTAACAGCCATTGCTGTTATAAACTGTGCCAGTGTAGATGTGTTCTCAGGTTTTCATTTGTAAATGTGTGGTGTTTATTCAGCAGATCAACAGTAATTGAAAGATTAAGGCTGAATCAATGGTATCTCACTTATAGAAGGGTATTATTTCTGCAAGTTGATTTTAGAAGATTTTCCAACTTTTTCCATCTTTGAAGATTTTTGCCTTTGATTACAATTAACAAATTTCAATTTATTTAAGCTTTAGTTTATTACCATGCCAAGCAGGGAGTTTTTATGGGGTTTTAATGCTTGTCTGATTTAATGCTTTTTATCTGATTAACTTTAAAATAAGCGTGTTCGTAAAGGCTTCTAACTCCATTGTTTGTTAAGAAACACATAGGGAAATAGTGACTTTCAAGACACTCCAAAAGATACCACCATTTCTTCTATTGATTCATAGAAAGAAATAAAGGGTTTAAATAGTTCACACAGCAGGGGCACGAACTGGATCAATGCAGGATGGAGATCAGAGACCATTCTGCCTGTCGTCTTTCCTGATGACATCAGTGAGAAATGCTCCAGTGAACTGCAAATGACATTAATTTTTATGTATTGTTTTGTTTATGCTACAGTCTTCATATCTGGTTGTCAGCACTTGTGAACATTTGGTTGCGGCTTGAGGTTTTTTCAACTTTGGGCTTTTTTAAACTGAAGTGATTATGTGGCTTATGAATTTATTTTCTTGAAGAAAAGCCCTTTTTAAGGGATTAAAATACAGCGATGAGTAGAAGTTAGCTGTTACATATTTTGAATTAAATATTCAAAATGTATCTTTAATATTATGTAGTTACTTGTTTTTATAGGAGTTGACAAGTGCTAGTCTTAAAGGATAATGGGAGAGTTCTGACTTTGAGATTGTGTGGCAATAATGAAAAACTTACAATTTTATTTGACTGCAGAGTACTGGACAAACCACAATGGCATGACTTACTTCCATGCAAGCTGGGAATATGGTTCTGTCTCACTGTGAAATCTTTACCTCAGCTATTCCAGGTAATAGTAATGATTTTAAGTTATATTACTTGGATTTTTCTTGATGGTGTTGTTAGGCATAATCAGATGTATAGCACTTGTTCTTGTGATTTTTTCTGGCTCAAGCACAAATATATATAAATTACTATTTGGAGGTAAATTTAATATTGTAAGTTTATAAAAATGTGAATATATTTTAAATGGATACTAATCTTAATGTGCTAGGGAATTCAGCAGCAGTTCCTGATAGGCAAAACTACATCAATAAATGATGGGAGAGGGATGATATATATACATCTAACTAGGAATAGCAATGTCTTTTAAGTGATCTGTTAACAGAAGTATTTTTATATCAAATAGGCAAATGCTATATTTTCATAGTAAATATTAATATGTCATTTAAATTTGGGGAAACAGTGACATTTCTTTTTGAGTGAGGTGGAGGCTTTTGTTTTGAGTCACTGGATAACAATATAAATTGATACCTGAAATTACTAAGGTAAATTAACAAAGGTATGGTTGTAATTTATAAACATAAATGTGGCAAACTTGCCCACAGTTGTCTTTTTTTTTAATCTAATACTAGAAACTGTAAAACTTAGCTGATATTCATCCGATGTAACTATTGTTAGATCAGTTATCAGAATAACTTTTAATATCACATGCTCGCTCTTTTCATTTCCCTTGAATACACCCGTTTGTTTTTAATACCCTTGTCACTGCTAATGAATATGGATCAGGGAATGTAAGGTGGATTTTAGTTTACAGAAATATTGAGGATTAATTCTGCAGTATAAATGGCATCAATGTTCAATTTCAGTCTGTGTTCAAGCTAGAAAAAAGCATATAATTCGTAATTCCTAATTTGTTAGCAAAAGGCTTGTAAAAGTTACAAATGCAATAAAGTTGGGCCTTTCTCCATTCATTTTTATTGCCTTTCACCTTTCCTGCAAAGTGATGTAAAAGTTAGTATCTCTTCCTCTTTTAAAAATTTCAACAGAACTGTGTGGCTATTTTATTAATGAAACCTTTCTTTTTGCAAGTTTTTAAAGCAAAAGTGATGATGCTTAATTAAATCAGCTGTTGTGTCCAAATTAAGCGTTGATGTTCATCCCTCATTGAGGGGAGTTAGAAAAGAATTAAGTTCAGCAGTTGCTTTTGCTGCATTTTTTAAACTTTCTTCATAATTATAGTACTTTACCTTTTGCCTTAATTGCAAAATATTTAAAATACTACAGAATATGGTAAGATTAATGAAGAATTTTGAATTAGGACTTATTAGAATCTTTCTAAGCTGTCATTTTCTCATTTTTATGATTTTAAGATAGTCTGTTAAGAAGTCAGCATAACAGGTTTCAGATTTTGTGTTCAAAAAGCAGCTCCTGTGTCTGCCAGAATAGGCAGAAAAGATGAATACAACAAAAGTGATGTTTCGCACTTTGTAGACACCTAGCCAATACCTCTTGCTGTGGATTTTAAATCCATTAACTTAATGGTAGTGGAAAAAAAGCTCTCCAATAACTCAGGGAAAATTGGAGACCAGCAAACAGGGATTTGGTGGCAGGGGAAGCAAGATGTAGAGGAATTCAGAGCTGGAAGGCTTTGGAGCAAGGAGGAAGCGAAGAGATGGGGTTCTAGAGTAAATTGCCTCATACGTAAATTACACTAGTGCTTAACTCCAGGGTTTGCTTTGTTGTTGTTTAAGGTGACCTGCTGATTATGTAAGTTAAAATGCAATAAAATATAACTAATATCCAATATTAAGAATATTCAGGACTTCAGGTACCTGAAATGCATTACTGTAGATTATTAGTTAACAATGCTTAAAGAAGTGTTACCTCTTCTGAGGAGCATAAGAGCAGCAGCGACCTCATGTTGGAGATGTTTTCTGAAATGACAGTGCAAAAGATACCTTGTACGTTGTAGCTAGCTGGACAGAGAGCTAGTAGCTATACTAACATGATTATACCTTGGTACAAAGATCTTGTTTTGAATATAAGTGCTTTTCTCTTCAATAATACACTGACATAGGCTTGAGATTTCAGAGTATTTTGGACTTTTAGTATAAGTAGATTCACTAGGGCAGCTTATCTGGAAGATAAAGACTCCTACAGATACTGAGTAGTGTTGCTAGTTACACATGCAAATTATTTAACAAGGTGTTACAGTGGTTGATATAAGGATGGCTGCTACAGATTTTAGTTGTTTACTGGGTTAATCTAAATTATTTCTTCAGTCATTTAAGAGCCAACAAGTTATTTTCAAAGTTGGCTGTCATGCATCTGCAACTAATGCAATTGTAGATTAACTTCTAAAATGCATCCATATTTAAATGAACCCCATTTGGGACAGAAAAGGGTAAGAGTTAGCAATACTTTTAATTAAATGTTGCTTCTGCCACTGAGTTTTTTCAAAGCCCTGCTGCTTCCTCAAATTAAGGAAACAAAACCACCTGCCTGTGTACACAAGTTCTTTGTCAAAGGAAACTTTATTAAAAGCAAAAGAAATAAGCCCCCAAAACCAAACCAATAACAAAAAATACCCACGCCCCCAAACCAACAAGAGGTAAACTGAAACTTTTTGCCACTTCTTGTATTGATTCCTTTTACCTAGCATCCTGCCCTTTCCCCCATTTGTTAATGTGAATATTCAACTTACAACAGCTCTGATTCAGGTTGCTGAGCTTCTGCCCATGCCTGGCTCTCATTTATCCAATTGTGTGTCTTTCTCCTACTTCCCCTCCTCCTTCAAAATGTCAGATTTCAGAAGGAGGCACTTAAAATAATTAAGGTGGGCCTTTACTGAAGAAAAATGCTTTGTTTGTATGCCCTTCTGATGGCCTGTGCCATTTTATTGTAGCCTGCATTTTATGTCAAGAAACTGGAAGAAAAATGCATGAGAGGAGGATGAGAGAAACTAAAAAATGATTGTTTTTTTTTAAACTGTTGACAATTGTATTTTGAGAGAGGCCACATAGGCTTTTATATCCATGCATTTAGTTCAGTTAAATTTGGGGGTGAAAATGGTATCTTTAAGCTTGTTTGAATAATTGAAAAGGGAAAGGAATACATCAAGTGTATCATAAATCAAATATTTGTGGTGTGAAAGAAACATTAAGTAGAGTGTAAATTACATTGACTATTACTAAGTTCAATTCTTATAATGTAGGCTCAAAAAAAAGATAGAAAAAGAATGCAAATTGTTTCTAAGGTCATTTATAATTTACTCTTTCATGAGAATCACATGGAAGAAGGCTATATATTGTAAAAAAAAATAAAAAGGAAAAAAGAGAAAACAAAACTCAATTAAAATGCTTATTGGAACTGAAAATTGTTCTTACAAAGAAATAAACCAGCTAAATATTAGTGTCCAAGAATTTCAGTTCAAATGCCGAATGTAATACAGAATAGACAGTTGTGTTGAGTATACTTCTCTTCTGTGGGAGAAGAGTCATACGTAAATGGCGGTTTATTCCCAAACCAGAAGTTTTTTCTTTGGATGTGCAGACATACAACTCAAGAAGAGTCATCTTTCTTAAAAATGTTAATTATTATTTGCAAAATACTTCCTTCAGAAAACTGAAGATAGGAGTGTTTGGTAGTATTTCTGTCAGCTACTTTTTCCTCCACCTTTATGTGATGAAGCTTAGCAATTAATGTCTTTATTTTTACACCAACTTCATTAATTGGAGTTAGCACTAGGAAATGTTTTTTTATTAGTTAAATTATGAACCTGTTGTTCTCCTAAGTGTAATGAAGCGGAAAGCATTTTCGTTTGTTTCAGACGGAAGTGGATTCTTGTTAAGAAAATAAAGTTTCCCGTTATCTTCTATCTGTAATAGTGTAGGTGTAGCACATACACCCTAGCAGTGAACTATTGGAGGAACTTTCGGTGGCTCGCCAGTAATAAGGCGGCAGTTCAAGCTCAGTACGTAGTTGCACTGGGTATAACCTAGTGAGATTATCAACAAAGCTTTCAATTACAATTGAAACTTCTGTTTATAAAGACCTTTGTGTAGCACGAAGTGAATTAAAACAAAAAGGCCAGTAATTTATTTTTATGTAGACTACCAGATGGTAATTACTGTAGCTGATTTAGTAGCCTGGAATAGATTCAAACTTGTGACCCAGAGGTGTTTAATTTCTTGGCATTTTTTCCTCAGGTTTTCTTTTAATCCATGATTACATTTCAACACCTGTTTAGAGATGGTTCAGCTTTGGCCTTAAACGGATTGGCAATGTGTCATTAAACTCAAGAGGCTTTGCCAGCAGGGCATCTTCTTTGGCAAAGGTAGCTTTTAAGCTAGATTTGATTAGGTCGGCAAACATTTCTGTGGGTTGTTTTTGTCTTCACATATGACTTTACATAAAATCATCATGTGACATTAAAATAAAATTTATTGCATTTAATAATGTATACCTTAAAAAAGAGATTGTTATTTTAAAGGGATTTATTCAAGTCAGTAAGGTTAAATATCCCTTTAATTCCTAGCTTTGCAGGGTTTTGACGTGTTCCAACTTACTGTACAGCACCAATGTTGATATAATTTGTGGGGAGTGAGCAATTGCAGGATGTGTGGCACGAGTGATTGCCCATTTGCTCTGTTTCTTGCTGTTTCGCAGCTGTTGGGAGAACCAAAGTAGGGATGAAGCTCTTGACCCTGAGGTCAATTAGGAGCTTAGAAGCAGGTCAGAGGAGAGTGGATGGTAAAACAAGTATTCTGGGTGTATGCAAGTGAGCAAAAATAATTTGCGTCTAACAGAATACTCTCTGAGGCTCCGGAGACAGAATGTGCTTTCCTGCATAGTAAAAGTTTTAAGTAAATGTAAGACACTAAAGAAATTTGCCTTTAATTGTCTGTTTTTCTGTGGCAGCCAGTTTTGTTCTGCTCCTTCAAATCACTTACTGTATGTCTGCATATCCCAGCACACACCCCTTAGAAGAATGTAGCTCCAAGAGTAGCTTGAGCGTACGAGGCGATACTGGCTCTCAATTAATGGTGCTGTTCTGTTGTGGTACGAGGCTTCACGGGGTGCCAATGGGTGTCTAGGAGCCCTTGGAGTATTGGCCTCAGTTTCCCCTTCTGGCTGCCTTTGTTTCACCAGTGTGGATGTGGAATAAATACCCAGCAGATACTGCACTGGTACAGCCTGCTGCTGGTCACCCCATGTGTCCAAGGCTTGGGAAGCATGCTTCAACTGCCCACTGGCTGTATGCAGCTGAAGAGCCTGGCCACGCTTGGTTTTATTCCAAGGTCAAAGCATGATTTTCCGCTTATAAAGGAGGAAGTAATGCAATTCCTATTTATTTACTAGTTTGCCTTTGAGTAAACATGTAAAAATGCCAGAGAAATATAAATCCTAATGTTTTAACTTTTTTTTACATTATTTCTTACTGTAACACGTTGATTTATAAACACTAGTTGTTTATAAACCCATCAAAAGAGTGCTTTTGCTGTGGTATAATGGCTGGCATTTTTATTGCATAGAAATAGCAAATTGAAGGTTGGATGTTGCAGTAATTTTAATTTGACTCCTTTTTCTCTGTTTTTTGTACAAATTGTACAAGAACACTGTACTTAAAAAGACAAAAAACTAGTTCAAGAACTTCATACAAATATTTATCTTTAGGTCTATAGATTGATTTAATAAGAATTAATGCAAAGAACATTATTTCAATATACTCATTTTAAGTGTGCTTGTGGGAAAGTTTCCAGTTAACTGTGAATTCTGAGGGGATGCATTTTGTTTGTATCAGCCCCTTGCCCAGAGGAGTAAAATGTGAAGCCGATTCTATCACAAAATCAGTAATGAAGATTCACATATGGCCAATACAGCAAGTTGTTTCCAATGTTTGCCTTATTTCTCCTAATTTCGAGTCTTTCTGAGTTAGACCAGAAAGCCAGGAAGATTAACTGGGGGCGGGGGGAACCAAACAACCCCCCAAAAAAACAACACAAAGCAAACAAACCAACAAAACCCCATCGCCTTCCCCAAAAGTCAAGGAGAGGCTGGAGTGGCTAAGTCTTACTCAGAATTGAAGTTTTTAGTTCCAGAATTAGTACAGTTTGAATAAACACTGTATGTGTTGATTTAGAAACAACAAACAAATAAACCAAAACAAAATAAAAACAAACCCAAACCCCCACAAAAAACCAAAACCCACGAACAAAGAAAAAACCCTTAAAAGTCCAGTATCAAAAATTTCTGTATTTCTGCATAACTCAAGTGCAACTTTGTCTTGGCAATCTCAAATTTATTGACATGAGTCGATACTGATATAAATAAGAACTGAAATAAAAAAAAATTGTCAATATTCTTGATTCTTAATTGTGGTTAAAATACTGAAAATATGTTAATGAAGTGTTTGTCAATTTTATTTTTCTTCCACAACACTTCTTGAAATTGTTGGTTAAATATGAGGATAATCACAGGAGCTTCCTATACATGGCAGTTGAAATATAATTTAGAAATACTAATAGCAGATTTTCTTAATACACTTTTTTTTATTCTGTTTCTTTTTGGATAGTGTATATTTGAAATCATAGTATAATAAGCCAGCATATATTAGCCCTCTTCATTATTCTTTTTGCTTAACTACATGCATATTACTGCTTTGATGGTGAAGTAATGTATTTGTGTTGACATTCTTTTTAAAAAAATTTCTCAAACTCCTGCAAATGAGAACAAAATATTTCTGATAGGTAAGCTGGAACTTTCAGTTAGAACAGTTCCAAGCTTTATATTTGTGTGTCTCTTTCCTCTGTCCCTTTCCACCCCCAAGAAGGACAAAAATGTTGCTTTTCCTATGTTTATTACCTCTTGAAGGTGAAGTATATACCAGGTATAAAATTTTCATGTTGCACATATTTTGAGCTGTTTGGGAAAGGATCCTCTAAAAAAAAAAAAAAAAAAAAAAAATCATTACTGAATCTTGGGGAAGGAGCGTTACATTGGAAGAGGCTCTATCTATGTTGCCAGTGGTTTTAGGGCTCTAAAATGTTTGTATTGAGGCAAAATGACTGCTTAAATGTATCACCCTGGAAAAGTAAAAAATCTGAACATAATCTATTTTGAAATACTCTTACTACCAAAACTGAATATGCTTGAAAATGAATATTCCTGTTTAGACTGATACTATTGAAAACTAATGAGGAGTAAATTGAAATATGCTTATTTATGTTAAGGCAGAAGTTTTCTTCAAAGAACTTCCTATTTTAAACTGTTTTCCAGTGCTTCTTTCATGTTGACTTATAAGGTCTAATACCCATATAGTTTGTGTCTGTGGCTAAAATCTTTGCTCAGGTATGTCTTTTAATTTCTCTTTACAACCTGTAGAACCATTTCTTATGCTTTTGTGGGAAGGATTTGATTTTCAAATCTTCAAAATCCATTTTGATTTAAATTTTTTGTTGTTTTTTTTCTTTGCTTTAAATGTATACTTTTTTGTGTACTTCAAAATGTGCAGTCTTCCCTTTTTTTGTGATTATGGTATCAGCAATAATAAACTGTGATTAATAAGATAAAAGGCTGATGTTGCCTTTGTAACCTGGATATTACTCCTTTTGCAATGATAATCCATTTTATATCTATAAAGCAACAATACTACTAAATTTCATTTACATGCTTCTGACTAGTTTTCTTTGTTGTTCAGCTATTGTGTCTCATTTTCATCTGAGCCACATTTCCAATTGTTCAGTGATTGACATGCTGGAGAGATTGACAGTTACCCCCTAGTGCCTGCTGTCTGGAGATCCCACAAGCAATAATGGATTTTACACCAGAATTTAGCATCAAATATTGGCTTTCAGCGTCAAATGGGTTAAATTTAAATGCTGGTTAATTGTAGCCATTTTGAAATCATAGCCTTAAACAAAAGCATTTTTTGGATATCAGTATGTCTGAGTCCTGTGTATGCCACGCAACCCAAATGGCTCAAACTTACAGCAGAAGTTAACCATTACATTTATGCCTGTTTCTGTTTCTTAATGATGCAAATAGTCCAAATCAGGAGAGTACAAGGAAAGTTTCCATATGCGGTAGGGAATTCATATTTCAGTTGAACTGAAAAGAGAACCACTACTGATTCTGATTTTGTCATTCAATGTTATAACACAGAAACTAAGTATGTTTCCTCAAAGCCTTCATATCTGCTGTTAATGGTAGTCCTGTGCTTACACACTTTTTTTAGCCCCAATTCTACTAAAACCACCAAAACCTCCCTCTTCCCCATTTTCGAAACCAGAACTGTAAGCATGTGAGATGGTCTCCTCTGCTGTGTTCCAGCAGCAAAAAGTTATGTGAAGTCTTTACAGTTTCTTCTGTGTGTTGTGACCTCCTACATAAACCCAGCAAAGAAATGTAACTTCCCATTTCCCCCATACCCAAATGTAAAGACAAGCAGAGAGTAAGAAAAGGTATTTTGGAGGGAGATGAAACCTCACTGATCTTTTGTGAGAATTTGTCAGAGTTTTTCTTCAGATGCGTTGACTTGTGTGGGTGAGATGTCTCCAAAGTACTATAAAGCTCTGCTTGGAGCTGAATCATGTTTCCGTCCTGTGTTGTCCCACCTCCTTCAAGTACCTTTAAAGGGGCAGATGCCAATATAATGCAAGGAGCAACTGTTGTGTCATAGTATCTTTGCAGGAAGCAGTGGTTTTGGATGACTTCTACTGTTAGAGGCGGCAATAATGACTGCTTAACTCAGTTTTTATTTTCAAAATTTATTAAGATGTTTTGTTTCATTTTTAATGAGACCAGGTTTTGTTCAAATTTATGGGACTATAGTTGAAATTATAAAAGTATTTACTGATGTTTTACAATACGCTCTACATTAAAATTTAAATCTCCCTTTATATATAAAAAGTGAGACTGTTAATGTAATAACAAGAATAAAATTATTTTTGGCTATAAAGAACTAAAATTGGGTTTATCTAATGCTATAATTAATTTTGATTTAATACAATAGATGTTCTGCATGCTTGGAAATGATAAATATTAATTTGTCTTTTTCAGCATTTCTATTACAGATTCATTGTTTTTGAATGATTATAGAAATCTCTTTAAACTGGTAAGTGAGAGTAAGAAAACTCTCCATACCTCTTACTTCAGCAATCTGGTTGTTCATATTGGAAAACTTTCAGTGCAAATCTATAATTGCTAATTCATCAGATTTTGGAAATGTGTAACTTCTGGTGAGATTTGTGACAGGACTTCTAGTTTTATGTGTAAATTTGCCAAGTAGATTTAAGTTTAGAATCCAATCTAATCCTTGGAGAAAAAACTTAATATATATTTTCAATACTTTAATAGCAATGTAGAAGTTGGTTTAAAAAAAAAAAAAGTGGGGGGAACAAGTTGGGTTTAGGAACAAGCAGTTAATGTTACCATAACGAGTTCAGACTAAGAGGACTGCTGCCTAGCGATTGCCTTTGTCCCTGCACATGCTAATTACAAACTTTTCTTTCTTCCTTGAACTTCCAGATTGCTGATGTGAGCAAAATGGGTACATGGCCTCTTACAAAGCTGTAGGTAGTCATCAGAAATGTTTTTCTAACCATTTTGCTTTTCAGGTTGTCAGTGAGCATCATAGACTGTAATAGCAACGCTGTTACAGTTGAACCTTTATTACGGAAAAATTCTGCATTCTAAACAAATACTTTCTATACTTAAAAACTACTGTAACTGAAGGAAACAAATGTGTCTTAATTTTTTTGCGAGGTTAATTGAGAACTTAAAACAGAGCCATTGCAATAACTTGTTTGTATAAGAATGCTAATGCCATTGCAACATTTTCTTAAAGGATGCCAGACAATTATATGTAGAATATAAAGAAACAAAAATGAAGGCGAAAGAAGATGCCCTGGCTAAGGCTGAACTTGAAACACTTCTGAGTGAGTTTTTACCACTGTCTTAATAAACAAAGATGTAATATGATATACCTACTACACAGGATATATGTGAACAAACATTTTTTATAATCTTCTAAAATATGTGTTCTATGTATTTCTGTACTGCTGTTAAATTTAAATATGCTTTTAATTTTTTAATTTTTCAGTAGGCTGGTTTGTTCCTGTAGAAGCATAAAGCTCAGGTGGTACTTACATAGTAGCAACAAAAGCATACTTTGCTAGAAATGTTGCTTTTACGGTAGAGGGAAATATCAAATGTATAGATCTCAAAGTATACATTTTCAGAACTGACCTCTTGTGTTTTGAGCATTCTTATATTCTCTTTGTACATATTTTTTAAAGTATTATGTTTAATAATTCTTTTGTGCATATTGAATTGATTTTTGTGATAGAAATGGAACATAATTTGAATTTCCAAAAGCATGGATGCAGACTTCAGAGAAGGATTCATGCTATTGTTGAAATAAATGCCTTGAAGTCTTTACACTGTTACAAAAGACCAGAGAAGGCAATTAGCACTTGCCTTAATAAAGTATTTGGAATAATTATAGGTGACTTTTCCTTTTCTTCTTTCAGTTACTTGCTTTTGCCAATGATTTAACCTACTCTCTTCTGAAGACAATTTTTGAAGTTTTTTTGTGTCTGTGTTTGTATGTGTGTTCTTGCTTTATTTACTGTACTTAAGTGCATGCTTTTAAGTTCCTTTATTCTGACAAGTGCATTGAGTGCCCTATAATAATTTACTAGCTTTGAGTATGCATAAGCCTTTAGGCACTTAAAATACAGCTGCATTATTTATATTTACAGAATAGCTTAATTTTGAAAAAATCAGCAAAGAGATCCAGTTTCAGCGATAATTCCCAACTTATCTGTAGCTGAATCTATTTTGAGAAAATGGATAACATTCAGCACCTCAGTGAGCATTGTGGACCCAGGCCAAATCTAGCAAAATAGTGCATTTAATGCTTGTTAGGGCAGCCTGCCATTATGTTTGAGATACCTACCACAAAATGGGCCCTTGAAAAGGGTCTTGACTCGGGTTATTAAAAACTTGTTAAATTGTCAGATAGTAGCGTATTGCCATTGTTCAAAATAGCTGGCATACATTCTTCATTGAAATCTGTGAACCACGGTTTTAAAAGGACTGGTTTTTGAAAACAGAAGTGCAAGTGAAAGTATAAAGTCATTAAAATTGCAGTGTGTATGTTCCTGTGTTTCACTGAAAGACCACGTGTGAACTTTTCAGTATTTCCCTCTGCCAGGTGTCGCGTGAGAGTCACTTTTTTTTTGTTGTTACCTCCAGTAGCAGTGCCCACACCTGAGAGGTGTGGGTTTGGCACACGTCCTCCTCCAGGTCACCCCTCGCCTCTCACAGCAGCACCACCCTGTCCCCTGCCCGGTGTGACATGGCGCGTGACCCCCCACCTCATGCCTGCCAGCTCACCCAACGTCACTCGTGTGAGCAGCGGCCAGTCCTCACCAGTCTCACTGGTTGGCATCCTGTCCTCCCTTGGTAGGCTTGCTGGCAGGGAGCAAGACAAGGATTGAGAGTCACCACCTGGAATTAGCAGTTTGAAATTTGTCACAGAATTAATTGGTCAGCCATAGCAGTGCTATTGCTGGGCAGCAGAATGAGCTGGCGGTTAACTTTTTAAAAAGGCAATAAGACTCCTAGGAGAAGAACAAGAGATGCATCTATGTTACCGTAGGCAAAAAACCAACTTCTATGTAATTTTTTTCCTGAAGCTTGCATATAAAGCGTCTGTAAACTTGCTTATTTCATTATATTTTTCCACATTGTCACTTCACAATTAGCATAGAAAGGTTGTAAATCACCAAATGTGCATTTTTTTGCCTCCATTCCTCTTAATTCTAGAGACCATTCGTGGAATGCGAGTTCATAATAACAGTTCCATCTATCTAATTGAGTAAATGTATCTCATGTGGATTAGCAATAGCTATTTTACAGTGCTTGTTTTTTCATGACCTAATTGCTAGTTTACCCCCATGTCTATCTGCTTTCCTGCTGAAATTGTGTGGTATTCTCTAGGCAGCTTGAGCTAAAACCAGCGAAGGGTACTGGAGGTGGAAAATATAATTTGCAAAGTAAGAAAGAGAGGACAGTATTGAGATGTCATTAAAGTGCTATATTTGGTAAGGAGTGTGAAAAAGTCATTTCTTGGTAAGTCAATATTGTGCACAATTTTGATTTCTTTTTCTGGCACTTTTGCAGTGTTTTCTTCTCAATCCATTCAAAACTGTCATTACTACCTTAGTGAAATATAGCAACTTTACAACTTTACACTACAAAAACAGAGCAACTTACAATACAGACCTTATGTTTCTAGGAAATGTGGTTTTGTAGGGAATTACAGATAACTGGGTGTTTTATGTTAAAAAAAAAAAAAAGGTTTGCTTTACATTTTCTGATTGCCTTTTCACATTTAGATACCAGAACACAAAATTTATTTTAAAATTAAAGTGATTTAATTAATAAACTTTCTGTTAACTTCTCCCTCTCCTGTAGTGTCACACATGCATATAATCCCTGCATCAGGGAATGATTCTGTAACAATATATGGCCCTGATCTTCATAGTCGTGGGATATAAAGTAACGTATGTATTAACTGAACTGAGAAGACTTAGGGCATGCATTGTCAGGACAGATGACTACCAGTTTTTAAACTTAAATTGCAAGTTTTGAGTAGTTATCAAGACAAATTCTAGTGGCTCTATTGGTCCTTTTCTTGCATGGAGTACTTCTTTCAACCGTGTCCCTTTTAGGGGGAAACACGTCTATTTTTCTTTCTTTATACTTGGCCTTGGTAATTCTCTTACTTTCTGTTGTTCTTATGCTTGTTTTCCCTGACCTTCAATACGAAGACTTAAATTTATTTTTAAAATATGCCTTTTAAAAGAAATAGCACCTGCTAGATATTGCAGGTGAACTCTTCACTGGCATCCCAGTTACCAAACACACCTGCATTGTACATCCAGAATTCTTGCCCTGATGTACAAAGCATCTGGAACAATCCATGGCAAGAAACTATTTTGTTTCTAGTTGTAAATCATGTTGAATAGCACTTAGATTTTGGGGTTTTGTCTCACCCCCACCATTCAAGCTTTAACTGAAATACAAAGTTACTAGCCCTATGACTGTAATACTAGCTGTATTGAGGCTTTATGGTGGTATCTATAGTGGTATTTATATCTCTGTATAGGTCTTTATAGTAAGACATGTTTTACCTGAGGGTCTGCTGTGAAAAATCCAGAGCTGTAGTGAACCCTTTAATACATTTGATTAAGTTTGATTAGGCTTGGTGGTTCTCCCTTTCCAGACAGCTTGGAATGTAGCATGTTGCTTGGGTATCTTTTTATATTGTTTCATGAAACTTAGGGATAGAAGCCATCACTGGATCATTCAGTATAATGTGTTTTATTTCAGACCCTTACAGTCAAAAATCAGTGAAAAATACTGATTTTCATGACTCGTCTTGTTTCACTTGTTCTGGTGATGCACTTTAGCTTTTAGCATCTTGTTATGCAAGATACAATATTGATCAGAAAACGTCGAAATGCTTTCCGTTCTTCATGGTTTGTTCAGACAATTAATTTTACAGTTATATACTTATATCTTAATTTCAGTATGGATTTCTCTAGCTCTAGCTTTCAATTGTTCATTAGTAGCATTTTTCTGTGCTTAAAAAAGGGAGTTTTATTTATCTGCGGATATATAAAACATTTCTTTAGCCCTTGATTACAGAAAATCCACAGAAATTTAGTTTTCCAATGTAGCTGTAAGTATTGGACCCTGGGTTTGTATATAGTGTTCTAACGTTTGTCATCTTCTGCTTGTAAAATCACTTTTCTTCTATTATTACTGTTCCGTTTACAGAACCACAGATTACTTTAGTTCCCATTGCTCTGATAGCTCATTTCATATCGCTTGTCCACCATCACTACAGGCTCTTACATCAAAGGTTCCTTGTACTCAGTCCCTCATAAGAACAGATATGGCATAAGGTCCTTAGCTGTGTAATTTTCAAAAATGCTTTTGGTTTGATTGGTCCCAGACTACCAGTGAGTCCATGTTCCTACTTCTTCCTGTACTTTCGTCTTCACTGTAAGCCATTTTGACCAATTTTATGTAATCTAGCACTATGCTGAAGGTGACTTTACATTTACTTCCAAATAATTGACAAGTATCTTGGATAATTGTGTTTAGTATTAATCCTTGCC